GGGGGAGGGGGAGAGAAGGGATCATATGAGAATGGTAGATAGTGAAAAAAATAAGAATGATTATAGGCCATTGGATCGGTACGATCAATGGACATGATGAAGTCAAAATTAAAAAAGATGGTCAAACATGTAATAGCAAAATTGTAAATACATGCATATCTCATGCCCAAATAAATACCTTAGAGGACATTTATGTAATTTATCATTCAACTACTCAGTCGGTCCCACACAACTAATGCTGCCATCTCTCCCTCATCACTCTCTTCTCTCTCTCCGTCTCTCTCTCACACACACACAGAGTCACAGACGCACGCACACACTCACACACACAATACTGCCGACAACTCACATCCCACCACCGCAGTAAGCCGCAGGTAACGTCGTCACTGTCGACAGATCTGTTGCCGCATCCGTCCACCATTGCCGTCAGCCTGTCCGAAGCTCACGGCTCGAGCTACCATGTCGACGGCCACAGATCTGTTGCCGCATCAGTCTGCTGCTTCACCTCAGACGTCCGTCCACAATAGCTTCGCATCACCACCACTTTGCCAATGTCGTCGCCATAGGCAACCACGGTAACATCTCCGCCACCGTACTCATCAAACAGGTTGCAGGTCGCCTCCGGCGAGAATCATCTCCCCGCCCGCCGCGACAGCACTCTTCAGTCGCCCTTAAGTCAGTTGCCGCCACAACCCAGCCCTTCCAGTCGCCGGCAGAAATAGACCGGAAATGAAATTCACTTTTACATATTAGAATGAGGGCTTTGTTGTGAAAATTTGATATGTTGAAGGGACCCAATTGCAATTTTATAAACTTTTATATATTGTAATTCACTTCTTGGGCAAAATATACAATTTATAACAAACTTAGCAATTGCACATTAATGTTGTGTACATTGCACTTTAATGATAATTAAAATGCACATTATTGTTATGTTGCACATTAATATTTTTATCTAACATTTTATTCATTTATTTATTGAAAAATAATATTTCCTATAAAATTTAAAAAAGAATATTTTTTTCATATAGTTTATTCGGTATAATTATTTTTGTCACACTAAAATATTAAAAGTGAACACAGATAATCTAATCGACATAAAATTCTATAATAAAAAAAAAACGATTAGGTTCAACTAGTATAGTGTAATTTGACAGTCAATAACATGCCATATGTATAGCACTAATGTGCAATCAGAAAATCAATAATGTGCAATATGACTAACACTAAAGCACACTTGAATTGTAATTTTTTTCTGATAAAATATATTTAGTATGTATAATGTTTTAAATAATAAATATAATTTAGTTTGGTGAAAATAAATAATATATATGGATAAATATAAAAAGTCAATGTTTTTTTGTATAGTTCGATCGATCCTGTTATTATTATTATTATTATTATTATTATTATTATTATTATTATTATTATTATTATTATTTTTTGTACAGTTCGATCGGTCCTGTTATTTTTATTATTATTTCATTATTATTGTAAATAAAGTTGAACTCGAATTGAAATATGCAAAATTTTAATATTTTGTGAAAATGCAAATCGTTGTGTTAATGTGTATTATCGAACACATTAATGTGCATTCGATATAACTATATTGTGCAATCGGACAAACAATAATATGCATTGTGCGCTGTTATATTGCGCATTCTGTAGTTCGAAACTGTTTTCATATAAAAATATATTTATTAGCTTACTACTTTATTTAATATTCTATATTACTTTTAGTTGTAAAGACCTACAATATATAAATAACAAAATAATATTTTTTATATAGTTTGATTGGTTTTGTTATTTTTAAAATATAAACTTGACATCAAACCGAAATAATCAAGTATTTAAAAGAAAAATGGATAATCGAACCGAAAATAGAAGTTTCAGACCCAAAAAAATTAGTTTGTCGATTTTGGTCGCTATGGTGCAATATGTCTGACACTAATGTGCAATTCGTTCATCACTAATGTGCAACCTATCGGTTAACAAAATTATCTAATATTAATAGTAAAATTATTATTTATATTAGTAAAATATATTTAGTTTTGTAATATTTATATTTTAACATATTATATTATTTTTGTTGAGATACATAATATATATATATATATATATCATATAAAAATAATATTTTTTTTATATATTTCGGTCGGTTCGGTTGTCTCGATTATTTTAAAATAAAGGCGAAATCAAACCGAGAAACCACAATTTTAAAATTAAAAATCGACTACCTGTAAATTGGATACTTTAGACAATCTATCCATCAACTTTATGTGCATTTCAATTTTAAAACATCTTAATTATTTGTTCCAACCCAAACAAAAATCAATCTGAAATAATTGATTTATTGAATCGGTTAACCGAATTAATCGAAACGCTTTATAATTTATTCTATAAAATTATATTTAGTATTTTAATATTTATATTTAATATTTTATATTATTATTGGTTAAAACAGACATAGTAATAAAATACCAAAAATCAATAATGTGGGTTCCACAGACAATAATGTGCATTTTGTATAACATATTATATAGTCTATTGGCCAAGCTATTTTTTATGTACATTTCAATTATACAAACTTTAATAATTTTTTGTCAATTAATATTATGTTTCATTTATCATTTTAGTTATATAATAACAATATATTATTAATTTTAATTTTTAATTAATATTTTAAATTAGTGTTTGTTAAAAATAAATAATAGCATTTTTTCTGTCACACGTTGTCATTATGTGGAGTACAATGTTATGCTAATGTGCGTTTGTTCTAATACTATTGTATTGTCTGACAGTCATTAATGTGCAATGCTTAGTACTATTGTGCATTATGCAATCCGAATTATGTGCAGATACAAATTAAAATCGAACTTAAATAATTGAGTTATTTGGTTGGTAAATCAAATTAATCTAAATAATTGAAATATTTTATTAATTATTATTGTAAAAGTATATTTATCATTTTATATTTTTTTTGATTAAAATACTATACTATATATGTGTATAAAACAATATATAAAAAATAATATTTTTTATATACTTTTTATAAATTACAGATTTGGCCCATGGGTTAAATTAAAATATATTAAAAAAATTTAAAATTACAATTGGATCCTTACAAACTATCAAATTTTAGAAATGAGCCCTCCACTCCCAAGACACAGATATGTTTTTCCGGCCACTGAAATCGCGTATTTGTCGTCCTGAAACGCCCAATATAAGAGGAATTGCTCTGCTCGCCGACGATGTGTCCGACCAATTTTCTGAAATCGGCTCGAAAATGTTGAAACGAGCAACTATGGCGGGCGGTGACTGCGGGCTGACGAACGGGAAGAAAAAGGAGAAGATTCCGGCGTCGTTAATGGAAGGCGACGAACGACGCGATGGGCGACGGAAGTCATCGCTGCAAAAAATCCAGCGGCTGCAAAACATTCGGCGGCATTGGAACGCAACAAACGACGCGATGGGTGAAGGAGGAAGGCAGCGGCGAGCGACGACAAGTGTCTGCAGTCGACTGTGGGTGGCGTTGGGTGGTGGCCGGGAGTGTGATGGTGTGTGTGTCGTGCGTGTGTGTGTTTGGATTTGTGTGTGTGTGTATGTGTGTGTGTGTGTGTGTGAGAGAGAGAGAGAGAGAGAGAGAGAGCGTGCAGATGACGATTGGCTGATTGGATGGGTGAATTAAATTTGGTTTTTTATGGTGGTCCCACTGATGTGGAGTATTGTTTGTAATAAAATATCCTTAATACCCTTAATGAAGTCATAATGTTGACATTTTTTAGCTGTTGGATTATCAAATAAGACGGCTACGATGTATTCTTATTTCTTTCACTAAGCACAATTCTCATCGGAGCGCATCCCTATATATATATATATATATATATATATATATATATATAGAGAGAGAGAGAGAGAGAGAGAGAGAGAGAGAGAGAGAAGGGATCATATGAGAATGGTAGATAGTGAAAGAAATAAGAATAAATTTGTACCATTGGATGCAACATATTAATGGTTATGATCAAGTCAAAATTTAAATATGTGAGTCAAACCAGCAATGGCAATCCGTAAATAAGAGTATATTTCGTGGTCAAATATAGACATTAAACCACTAAATAAGGACAAAATAGTAATTACATACTCATTCAATAAGGTGTGGGTCCCACCACCAACCACCAAACTTACCTTTCTCTCTCACCTACCCACACATACATGTCTCCCATCTGTTCAGCTCTCCGACTGCCGTTCACCACCGCCCGCAGCCGCCTGATGTCGCCGCCACCGCTTGCTACAACCATTCGCCACCCATTGCAGTGTCGCCACCAGGACATCAAATCGTCGCCGTCGGATATCAAAGTGCCGTCGGACTGACCTTCAAAAAAGACGTCGCCCGGCCGTCCAAGCTCTGCCGCCCGCCCATCAAACACCGCCACGTCAAGCGTCGCTGACAACATCAGCTACGCGTTCACCACAGGCCGCCACCACCGTCACCTACCATCCCGCCGCCCATCAACAACCCCGCCATCACCGCTTCCCACAACACCGCCACCACCGTCGGATATTGTCTCCGCCACCAGATCCGTCCCAGACCTCGGAGAAACGCCGTAGCCTCAGGATCTCACAATCACACTCTGACCTCCGTTCGTCAAGCAGACCGTCATGGCGAGGGCTTCCATTACGGTGAGGGAGATCGGCGGGAGAGAAGAAGACGGCGGCGCCGCCGCCTGGAGGAACCGATCGGGATGTGTAGTG